GATGTCCTGCAGGAGGGCAAACGACTTGGACATGCCCGTGATGTGCCACATCTCCTTGAACTCGGGCGTGAAGTCGACGACGGACCCCGGCAGACAGTTCTCTTGGAGCATCACGTTCATCTTGTCGACCTCCAAGTACCCCTCGGCCACAGTCAGACCCTGGCTCGCCGCCTGGGCAAGGACGGCTTCTTCGAACGCCAGCACGTTCTTGTCTTCGGCCAACACGACCGGCTCGACGACGTTGTCAACTGTGACGTTGGTGGCGCGTTCGACGGAACTGATGCTGCTCACGGCGGTGCTGCCGTCGCACTTGGTGTACAAATCCCCGAGGAGTCCCTTCATCTCGAACGAGTACCCGAGCTGGCGAACATCGGTGAGCTTGTAGTACTGGTTCGGCAAGTCCTTGAAGAACGCGCCGATGAGGGGATCGTTGGCAACGTCGATGGCTTGCCCGCCAGTCACGACCCGCATGCGAAGCGTCGACGTGGGGCCCACGGTTTCCCCGTTGTTGGTGCTGCAACCCTGGAACGACCGCATGTCGTTTTTCTGTTGCGAGTCGCTCAAGTTGAGTGGCTCGACGCGGCAGTGGTAGTAGATCGTGTGGAGGAGATCGATCGTGTTGTGGTGCATGAAAAAGATCGGGTCCATGGGGGAAATGCGGGCGTTCGCCATCGGGCCGTTGAGCGTTGAGTGGATGATGTTATGAGGTGAATACTCGATGGCTTGCGAGACCGCACGGACGTTGGATCCACTGAGGACACTCTGGCGAACGCTCGAGATGCTCATGTCGGAAATCATGGGCGTATTCGTCCAGTCGCCACGGGGAGTGCACTTGGGGCAGGATGCAGAGCCGGCTGTCGTGCACATGTGGTTGACAGGTCGTTGGTTCACGCACCGATAGTTGGGGTACGTGTACCCGAAAAAATTCGCATTGGAAATGGACCCTTGCGTGGAGCCGCCAAGTGCCGTCGTGATGGGGGAGCACGCTTCGATGGACCGACATCGGTTAGCACTAGGGGTGTTTTGCATCGTCGCGTAGTTCTGGACGTAGTCCCAGTACGGCAGCGTCAAGCACTTGTACCGGTCGCCAAGGCTGCGCAGCATGTTCTCAAACCCGAGGAGGAACTTGCGATGCCAAAACAAAAACACACACGTCCCATGTGCCTCGATGTTGCTCATTTGCTCTTGGTGGATGAGGACATACTTTTGGTACATTCCTCGGTCCATGGCGATTTCGAGCGCCGACACGAACGTATCTTTTTCGGAAGCAGAGAGAGATTCCCAAGATTTACGAATACGAGGGCATGCAGGGGTAGGAGCAGGAGTCGGGGCAGGAGTTGGAGCAGGAGTCGGCTTCGGGGTAGGAGCAGGAGTTGGAGCAGGGGTCGGCTTGGGGGTAGGAGCAGGAGTTGGGGCAGGAGTTGGAGCAGGGGTCGGCTTCGGGGTAGGAGCAGGAGTTGGAGCAGGGGTCGGCTTGGGGGTAGGAGCAGGGGTTGGGGCAGGAGTTGGAGCAGGGGTCGGCTTGGGGGTAGGAGCAGGGGTTGGGGCAGGAGTTGGAGCAGGGGTCGGCTTGGGGGTAGGAGCAGGAGTGGGAGCAGGAGTTGGCGCAGGGGTCGGCTTGGGGGTTGGTGAAGGAGTGGGTTTGAGGGTAGTAGGGGAAGGAGTGGGCTCAGGTGTAGGGGCTGGAGTTGCGAGCACCCCCGACACACCGCCGGGCAACGGAATGACTATTCCTTTTGCAGACTTCAAGTAGCACACGCCGTCGAACCAGTTGTACGCGTTGCATCCGACGGTCGCTTTGCAGTCGCTGCAGCACAGACCGGGGTCGTCTCGGTTGGTCGTGGAAATGTCGTTCTCCATGAAGTCGACGTCAGGCGTCACGTCGCACGTCTGGGCCAGACTTTGGATGGCCGAGAGCGCCGCCGACATGGCGACAATTGTACCAGTTCGAATGGAAACCATTGTTGTGGTGAGGTGTAAAATCTACAATGCAAAGGTCGACCGTCTCAATGGTGGGTCGAGTTCAGCGCTGGACAGGCATCATGTGGCGCCATTCTTCGTCTGCTGGCTACCCACCTTGATGTTTGGCATACATGTGGCATTCGCCTTTACCACACCAAGACGTTCGGTGGTTCTGCGCTTGCTAAAACCATCTCGGAAAAATACTCGGTCCCGCTTTGGATCACGTCACTGAGCGACGACAGTTCCAGTTCAAAAAGTCCCCAGCACTGCCCGGGGTTGCCCCCGATAGGAGCAATGCCACAGAGGAACGCCCTCTCTGTCTTCACCACGCCTGACACTCCCCGCTGCTCCACATGATGACATGCGACTGGTGAAACTCACATGTAAAAGCATCGCGCGGCTCACGACGCCATATCCAGCGTCTCCAATCCCCCTCTTGGTTACGCTGTTTGAATGTGTTGTCGACCATGTGTGTAGAGGACCGACATGCTGAAGAATGCCTGCATCCATCCGTGGTGGCCACGACTGCTGCCCCCCACAACAGACACGTTCCAACTGTAAACCATTCACCGGGGGTCTTGTGCAGTGGGCAGAAACGGACATGTTGCAAACTGGCAGTCAGCAACATCCTTCCCCGATGCAACATTTCCCGTGCATCCTTCGCCCGCTCGCAATTCATTCTTCACAGGAGTCCCGAGTTGGAGACTGTGGACTCGTCTACTACTCTGGCCCCACGAGTCCAAATTGCTGTACAACTGTACACAGTGGCTAACAACGTAGCCCGTTGATTAGAATCTCGGCGACATCCATGGCCCTGCGGACAATGGAAAATCGATGACGTGGACGGCAGTTCTCGCTGGTGTCCGCCATGTCCTCCTCAGGGGGTACATACAAAATGTTGCTAAGGATTTGGAGGTAGTGTGGCCGCGCGGGCTGATGATGTTTGGCGCAGCTTGATAAAGGCGTGACATAGTTCCAAGCAAGCCATTTCGCCCAGTTTCGATACTGCACACACCATCCAAGCAATCCATTGTTCGGCACGCACGCCACATGGCGTCAAAATGGTACAGGACGTGGTAGTGACAGGTCGAAACACAGTTTTGGAACGAAACAATGTTTGGACATCGGGCAAGCAAGGCGAGAACAACATCGACGAAGTTGAGGACGTGTGCCTCTGGACGAGCCCGTGCGCGGACGGTAATGAGCGACTTGAACGACCAGGCAGGCAAAGTGTACTTAACACTTCATGAGGGCAGCACCGCCATGAAGGTGGCCCAGGACGAGCAACACGAGACAGACACCACGGCCACGTTGGCGGCGAGAGATGCCAATGGCCACCTGTGACAGAGCGAAAAAAGCCACAGGAGCATTGTCGAAAGCGCTGGTGAATTCTTGAATCTGAGAACTATCATTCAATGGAGTGTACTAGTCGGAGGCGACATCGTATACAAAATAGACCAAGTTAACCAATGGGAGTCACTTTGGCCACCACAACCGGGATGCTGCGATAACTACCCAGTCAACGAATTTCATTTACTGTTATCTACAACGTTTTTGCGAAATATGTTTTTACTCTATTCAAATAATATTCACATTATTGCACAATCGTTCACATGATCCATATTCCATTTCGTTCGTCATTATAGTAAGGGACGTAAAAAAGTCCCCAGTAGTATAAGAGAAATCTCTTGATATGTATTGGTAATACAAATACCTTCAACGAGATTTGTGCCTGTAATTATATTCAAGCTGTGATAGATTGAAGAGCCATATCCACGATGATTGGTAGAAAATAGATAATTTCAGGCTCAGTCACGAACACAACAACAAGCAGCAAATACATACTTCGTGATTGGTAGAAAATAGATAATTTCAGGCTCAGTCACGACCGCAACAACAAGCAGCAAATACAAACAAGTAAAATACTTTTGCAACCAAAAATTTCGAAAATGAAGAAAAAATTGCATTATATACAAGAGTCAGTTAGTGGCAGGGCATTTCAATGAGCGAGTGATGATTTCATATGGCATGTCCTCACAGCTTTCAATAACGAGCTTATCCAGTCATAAGTTTTCGGCAGCAGACACAACCGGACTATTTGCGAACCTGGTGTAGGTTTGATTCGACTTTGACTTGAACGACGCGGTTTTGCGGGACATTCGAACCAGACAATGATAATCGAGGAACCAGTCACTATAGATTCTATTGCCCGGAATGTGTATAATGATTACCTTTAGTGTCTTGTATTCGTTTCAAGATAGATGTGTACTTGAGGAAGACAAAACATGAACGTATTTGGAAAAGAGTATCTTCTGACCTCGCTTTAGGTAAGACCAAACGGACGTAATGAGGTTTCAGCGCACACTGACTAAATGGAATTTTGTGCATCGACGTCATGGATTGAACCCTTTACCACTCGGGCTTTGTGCAAGAGCTCCACCGCGCGAGGTATTTCTCTTAGTGTTTATGATGTTGTTGTGGCTGTATAGTACCACGTAGGGCGGTTTGCATTACATATCATTGTTAAATTGTATGATAATGAATTATTGGTACAACGACGGTGAAGTGAGCTGGATAATGCATTGATTTGATAGTACTTTCAACTCATTTATGCATGATGTCATGTACTAGGTAAGCGATTGAACGGTTTCGTAGTCCGGCGAGGACATGCTGGTCGACCCACGAGCTGTTTTCACGAGCCCCAGGTCGTGTGGGTGACTCATAACGTATCGATCTTGTGGGTTTTGCCCAAAGGCCCACGCCTTTGGGGCACCCCGATTGTGAGGCCAGGACAACAAAGCCTGTAACACCGGTTGTAGTCAACCGGAAAGATCGCGAGGAGATCCTAGGGTAGAGTAAGAAGAGCACTTCCAAATACACCACGTTGGATCCTGTACTCGCCTTTGCAACACAAGTAAGCCACGGAAGACATGAGGTTATGAGCCCAATGGCCGAGAAGTACATCATCGATTCATCGACCAAGCTAATGGCCGACGGGGCTAACTACCGTGAGTGGTGCGTGAAGACACGCGCCAAGATCAACCAACAACGTCTCGGGAAGTGCTTGAAGCCTTGTACTGCCAGCAATGGCAAGTACCTCGAGGGCTTCACCGATGAAGACGATCTCGTCGCGCTGTCATATATCCAACTCACGATCCACTCGGACCACCTGAAATTCGTCCAAGCGGCAACCACGACGTGCGGCACGTGGGAAGCCCTTCGTGACATCTACGAGAGTGCGTCAGAAGTGAACTTGGTGACCCTCCAGCTCCAAATGAGCAAGTTGGAATGGAGCGAACGTCTGGGACTGGAAACGTTCACCGACCAGTTTGAAGAATTCGTAAGAAAACTCACCGCCGCTGGGGATACTGTACGAAGACTTTGGCCAAGGTCGGCGGGTCATCCAAAGTGGATACCGAACAAAAACACTCCGACCGTGTAACGGCTGTGTTGTCAATACGATCCAATGGGGACAAGCTGCCAATCAAGTTTTTTTACTGTCAAGGGAGCTCCTGGTGGACCAATCGAGTGCGACGAGGTACCTACTTATCCAGTTGGTCATATGTACGTTGTACAGGAGAAGGCATGGATGGACACGCGTGTGTGGGAGATGTACTTGACTGATCTGCTCAAGTACGAGATCGAAGGTCCCTCAGTTATTGTGGCCGACAACTTGGATTGTCATGTTTCCCAAGCCTCGCACGACAAGGTGTCATCTGAACTATTCAGTGTACTCGAGCCCTTGCCCAAGAGCTCCACCAGTGTCTGCCAACCTTTGGATGTGGGTGTGATGGGGCCTCTGAAGAGCAAGTTGCGCTCGAAGTGGCTCCAAGAAGCAC